GGCGAGAACCTTGAAGACATTGGGCAAAAACCCTCCCTGTAGATGAACATGCACATCTTCTATTAGTAGTGACACGAGACACATTTCTTCATATTTTTGGAGTAAATTAAGAGAGACTTTTTATTTTGGGGTGAACTTCAATGTAAATGTGATGCCAAACCTTCTGTTCAACCTCCTCCATCAGCTCCACAATATCAAATGGCAGGTTCTTCTTGTTTGGCACTGGATACCGGCTGATGAGCTCTGAACTGCTGCTGCTGCTGTGCCTCGTGCGAGTAGCTGCTGTTTTCACACCAACTCTGCTGCTTGCCGGGGAAAGGGAGTACTGCAAAGGACAGGGCTTGTTACATATTGTTGCATGCATTATATAATTTCATACTAATAAACAACTTGAAGTCACTTTCCAAGTTCAACTATTCAGAGCGATATATGTGTTTATGATTACAATGCAGTGATTTTAAGCATTTACAGAAAGATATACAGGTGCAGGCATGTTTTCTTGCATGACATTAGATTTACTGCTGCTTTGAAGCAATATATGAATAATTCACAGTTCAGAGTACTAGTTAATTTAAAAACCTTACCAGTAACCCAAAATTTGAGCGGAGACTAAGCTTCAAAACGCCTCGTAACGACATTGTTAAACTTTATCGTGTAAAGTCGCTGTATTCCGTTGTTTATATTGCCAGCAGTGGCTGGTTTAGAGTCATATGCTCTGAAGGGCAGCCAATCGGAGAGTCGTATTCTGACACGCCTCATGAACATTCGACCAATGAAACCATCCTATGGAGTCGCATTTGACTTCCTGTTTACAGCGCTCAAGGAAATGAAGCAAAGCATAATAAGAGAAATCACGGAAGTTTAGCGTCAAAGTAAAAGCGTGTTTCTGCGAGTGAAAGGAAAATAAAATAAATAAATAAAACCATTTTAAAAACACAAAAAGATATCGAATTATTTTTATATTAAACTGTAGAAAACATAAAAAACCTTTGTCAATTAAATATTGCAATTTTGATTAATATTTAGAAAAATATTGCAATTTTGATAAAAAAAATTTTTGATTAATATTTGTAAATATAAATTAAGAATATAATTATATTAATCAAACTTTGAAATAAATATATATTTGAACATTAATATATATTAACGTTAATATGGGATGCTGGAGAATTCAGTTGCTTAATCGCTAGAGCCGATCCCAATAATAATAATAATTGTTATTATTATTATTATTCAGATATATCATAATTTAATACTATCCCCTAGTGATAAAAGGCGAAGTCCTCACACGGTTGCACAGGGACTTTTATTTTGAAGGTCTCTACATCTTTATACGCACTCATCCGGAACTGAATGCAATTTTTTTTGGGTCGCTGTTTTCTGATAAAATCTTATCCATTTGATATCAGTTTATGCAATCGCATATTAATAAACGCATAATAATCTGATTATGGGTGGATACGGGGCGATGTCAGACGAAGAGTCTCTGGATTATTCAGTGCATGAAGCCTGGAACGAGGCCACTAATGTTTACCTGCTGGTTATTTTGGTCAGTTTCGCCCTGCTTATGTACGCCAGAAAGTAAGCGTCCATTTAATTTCATATTCATTAATAACACGATAACAGTTCAACTTGTAAACATGATCACAGTATCTGTAATCTGCGTTACACAACACGTCTGTGATTATAAATCTCTTGTAATGGCGACCATGAATGTCTTTTGTTTTCATGCAGAAATAAGAGGAAGATTATGCGTATATTTACACTGCCACCAACAGTGGCCAGCTCTTCAGAGCCCAACTTCTACGACAGTCTGCAGAAAGTCCGGCTGAGACAACAGCTGGAAATGTATTCACTCGGTGGGTTGAGCTCATTTTCTGTTTAAAAAATATGTATCTTTTTGTCCTTTCGAAAATTTACCATGGAACATTTATCATAGTTCCGATCAAAATACCACACAGCTTGTTCTCTAATTGTTGATAAAATACAACTGTAAATTATACACCTAATAATAATAATAATAATAATAATAAAAACAAAACCTCAGATAGATTGTGACCGCTTATGTGTGAAGGATATATCATATTAAATTGTTATTTTAGCCCTTCTATTGTATATGCGTTAGGTTCTATTATTTAATAATGAATATAATTCATTAATATAATCAAATATAAAATAATAAAATAGTTGCCTTTGATCAGAAATATTTGAATATTTTTAACATGTAATTTATTCCTGACGTTTCAGCATCATTAGTCTTCAGAAATCATTCTAATATGCCGATTTGCTGCTCAAGAAACATTTATTACAGTGTTGAAAACATGTGCTGCTTAATATTTTTGATTGAAACCATGATACAGAAGTTTGGAGGAAGTACAATAAAAAAGAAAGAAACTTTTATCCAGCAGGGACACATTAAATTGATCAAACGTGACCGTAAAGACATTTATAATGTTTCAAAACACAAACAGATAAATAAAAACTCGGTTGTCTGTAGAAATGCTGTCACGGTTTCCACCAAAATATTATGCTGCAAAAACTGTAGTTAACATTTATGTAACAAGAACCATGTAATAAGAGCCATAATTAATAACTGAGCAGCAAATCGGCATATTAGCATGATTTCTGAAGGATCATGTGACACTGAAGACTGGAGTAGTTATGCTGGAAATGTAGCTTTGCATCAGAGGAATAAATTGCATATTAAAATATATTACAATAGAAAACAGTTATTTTGTATGCAGCTTTGGTGAGCACATGAGACTTCTTTCAAAAACATATTAAAATTCCAATTATGCCAAACTCATTTTACACTTGTTTACCATGTGTCCATTTCTCAACAGGTGAGGTTTTGTCAAAATTGTGAAAATTATTTGGAAACTATTTTTAGATAAAGTTGATCTGTGCAAAAGATTATTGAACAAAAACAATCTAGACCTTGGTATAGGGCTGCACGATTAATCGAATGCGATTGTTATGCGCATTATCTGGAAGCACGTGAAAATACCACATTTAATAACATATTTACTCCAAACTCACTTCATAACGTCAGTCGAGTGTTTGAAATAAATCCTTCTGTGAGATGATGTGGCTTCTTACACAGAATAAGGCACGCAACATATTTCATAGTATTTAAGCAGTGATAAAGGCATTGCATTATACATATACTTTATTTGAATGAAAATTCTAATAATAAGAACTCCGATAAACCGTATATTGCCGTAGTCGTGTGTTTATTAGTCACATTGAATCAATGAAAGCAGTTGAATCTTCTGTTTATTCAGCTGCAGCGATTTCCTGGGTTTCTTCTGCGAGGCGTATTTGGAGTTTCAGCGCGAGAGCGCCCTCTGGCCTTTGGATGGAGATTTACTGCTGATCACAGAACCGTGCTTCACTGAAAGATACGCATGACAATCGCAGCTTCTGTCGAATCGCGATTTCGATCCCATTTCGATTTATCGTGCAGCCCTACCTTGGAACTTGAGGAGAATATCATGGCACGATGATTTTTGAAATAGTAGTTTTGTAAGATTGTAACCAAGACCTTTTCAAATCCTTGTTTTGTGTTTTTCCAGCTCGTAAATATGATCAGCAGCAGCACCAGCAGTCTCAGTCAGATAGTGTGCAGCTGTCAATGGAGTGATCTGACCAGAGGAGGCGCTCTTCACCAACTAATGCTGCAGATGTGAATTAAAACTGACTTCGAGCTCACAGAGACTTATGATCCAGAGAACTGGATTGCTGGAGAACAAACGTACTGGGAGTAAACTGTTGAATGATATTTTGATTTGATGAGCCTTTCTTTTTATTCTCATCCTTCATACCTCTCGATCATTCAAAAGTGGTGTTTTATGACCTTGTGATAGGATTTTCCTTTGAGGGCATCGATGGACTATGAAACAGACTGCTCTCTGGTGTTGGAAGTGAAATTTGATGTATAATATCTCAATGTTTCATATGATTGGCAAACACATTACTTGTGCACATCATCTGTGTGTCATAAGGTCTGCATCCAAACCTTTTACCTCTCCTCAAAAACATTGTTACAAAATGCTATTTAAGGTTTTCAAAGTAAAGATGTTGAAAATACTGTACACTGCTTCTAGGTACCTTTTCTCTGATGTCTCACATTGCCCTCTAGTTCTAGATTACATGCATGTCAGTTGTTTTAGGCTGACCTACAGGCTGTAAAATATGAAACTGCTTATTAAAAACATATTACTGAGTCTTAATTTTGAAAGTGACTGCATTCAAAACCTATTACTATTTCTCATGTTCCGGGTTTGTGGATGCCAGTATCCATAGCAAACTGTGGTGGCAAAAAAGCACTTCCCCCACCGTATATTATATACATTATTAACTATAGTGAATGTTTTAGTAATAAGTTCCAGCAGCTTTAAATACTTCTAGTGTGAAGGTGGATTGTATGTCCTGTCGTGTAACACCAAGATTTAATTTCGTGCATCAAAATTTCCACACTCCGCACTGCACTGGATGTAGTGATGGCATGCAATAAAATAGGGCAAAAATCCCAAAGACTTACATTTAAGGAAGGATCTGAATCATATTTATAAATCAGAATATCATGGAGCATGGAGGTGGGGAACATCATATAATTTGGAATATTAAGTCACCACCTAGCAACCACCCAGAACACATTAGCAAACATATAAAACGCCATGGCAAACACCCTTGCATCGTGCTGGCAACTCTTGTATGGGCAAGCACCACTCACTTTCTTCAAGTGTTAAAATGTAGTTTTTCAAAAACATTGGGTGAACAAAGTGCAATAAATGAGTCCAAGTGATACAGAAGTGAGAAATGAAAAACATGGAGTGAGAAATAAAAAGTTGAAAGGTGTGAGAGAGAATCACAATCTTGGCCGGTCTCGCTTTTGTTTTAGCTGCTTTGTTCTAATCGTTTATTTTTTTATTTCATGCCACTCTTCCATCATTCTCTAGCTTCTGATCCGCTGTTGTATCATTTCCCCAGATGAATCAGAAAAGCTAAAGAAATGATGCCTCGCCTCGCCTCGCTTTAGTCATCTGCCTCCCCCTCCCTCTGCTTCCTCTTGTGCTTTCCCTCAGGTCTCTATGGAAATAAGATGAACAAACTCTTTTCTTTATCATTTTTCAACCTCCAATAATTCTAATTTTATTCTACAGTATATCTGCCTTTGCCTTTTATCTTCAACCCTGAGAGTCTCATTGCCAAGCGTACGCTGTTCGAACACAGAATTTTTGAAGAATCTTCACGCAGCTTTATCCATATCTGCCAAGCATCATAACAGCAGTCCATATGACTCATGTGCTATATTCCAAGTCCTCTGAAGTCAATAGCTTGTGTGAGAAAAAGAACGAAAATCTGATTTTTTTTTTCACAAAAGCTCTAAAATCAAATATGGAATAAGGCGACAGGTTTGACGCCACTGATGTTTGGTCAAAAAACACAAGAACCAGTGGTGTTTATTGGTGCCACTGACGTCAAAAAGCACCTTATTTGATTTGACCAGTAGCTCATGGGTCATGAGGACTGTTTTATGAAGCTTTTTTATTCTTTTCGTCTCTTGACAGACATATAAACATATAAAAGAGCTGTGGGAAGATTCTTCAAATTCCTCTTTTTGTGTTCCATATGGGTTTGGAACGACATGAGGGTGAGAAAATAATGGCAGAATTGTCATTTGTAGGTGAACTGTTGCTTTAACACTTAAATAACACATTATCCCTCCTTCTGTCTCTCTCTTTCCTTTTTTCGGTCTCGCCCCATCTATTGTTTAACAAACACACAGACAACTGAATTCCAGGTATTAATGCATGACATGCATCAACACAAATCTCAACCGTTCGTTCTGCATCCATTTGCAAGCTCAAACCAGAAAAAAAGAATCAATAAACCAGAGGAAAAATAAACCAGAAGGGCTGAGGAGCAACGTTCATGGCCTCTGGATTTCAACACGTCAACAACATCAACGTATGGTTGATGTTTACAGTCTGGGTGTCGTCCTCTGCTCTGTCTCAATCCACTGTGCTGTTCTGAGACCTGTGGCTGCTTGAAGCCCAGACAGATGTAAACATGGCCTGACCGCATGCACTGGCCCCAGGCCAGCAGCTGGCAAAAACAGCCTGGAATGTCAGTGCCACGGCCCCGGCTCCCTCTCTCTGGGTTTTTACACCCAGTTACACTGGCCCACTGCCACAAGGCCCACAGGTCAATGGTAAACAGAATCACTTTATTTAAAGGCATGACACAAGAAGGTTGTGATCTGCTTATACAATATGCGTATGAATAGTACACACGTTTATAAATGCTGTGAGTCAGCAACATTTGAGTTGAAATAACTGTTTATGATACCGCAGCACTTAGAATGTGAATGCATTATGCTGCTTTCTCTTTAGAGTAACATCCAGACCTGTTACTAGGTACAGACGTTGAGATTATTATTTAATGTGGCTGTCCCCTCTGCTTTTTATAAAGTTCAAAAAGCTTCAGACAGTCTCCAGTCTTGGAGGTCGTATATAACGTTACATCTAAATTTATATTGATCAGATACCTTATCAGTACTACATTTTAAAGCACGATTGTGACATTGTTTTTATACAGTTCAATCAAAAATAAACTACATTTTAGACACAATAGTTTTGCTCAGCCAAAGAAAATAGTTCCAAACAAACAAACCCACAGCAACACACAGTAGTGGTGTTCATGAATGACTCAGTGGTTTTGAACAAATCCGTTTACTGAATGATTCAATGACTCACTAAAAGACTGTCAGCTGTTTCATTCATGAATTAATTAGCATTCTTTAATGAATCGGTTGAGTGAATGATTCAGTGATTCACTCATAAAGACTGTCTGCTGTTTTGTTGAGGAATTAATTTCCATTAAAAAAAAAAACTGAATAAGTGAATGATTTAATGACTCACTCATAAAGACTGTTAGCTGTTTCGTTCAGGAATGAATCGCTATTTAAAAAAAACTGATTGAGTGAATGATTCAGTGACTCATGGTAGGTGAATGATTCAATGACTCACTCATAAAGACTGTCTGCTGTTTTGCTCAAGAATGAATCGCCATTAAAAAAAAAAACTGGCCGAGTGAATGATTCAATGACTCCCTCATAAGGACTGTCAACTGTTTAGCTCATGAACTAATCAGCATTTTTGAATGAAATGTTGGGTGAATGATTCAGTGACTCACCCATAAAGAATGTGCGCTGTTTAGTTCATTAACGATTCAGTGGTTTTAAATGAATTGGCGAGTGAATGATTCAATGACTCACTCATTAACACTGTTAGCTGTTTCGTTTAGGAATGAATCAACCATTTAAAAAAAAAACTGGTTAAGTGAAGGATTCAATGGTTTACCTCTTAAGGACTGTCAGCTGTGTAGTTCATGAAATAGTGGGTGTATGATTCAGTGACTCACTCATAAAAACTGTTCGCAGTTTAGTTCGTAAACCAGTCAGTGGTTGTAAATGAATTAGTGGGTGAATGATTCAATGACTCACTCATAAAGACTTATAGCTGTTTTGTTCAGGAATGAAGTGCCACTTTTGAACAAACTGGATAAGCGAATGATTCAATGACTCACTCATAGAAAGACAGTCACTTGCCGCCACCTATTAGCATAAAAATGTGATCTGCACTGACAAACCCCCACCACTAAAAGTGCAGTCCACTGTTTTGAAATTTTTATTTATTTATTTATTTTATAAGGAATATAAGGAATTTTGCATGAGGGTGAAATATTTCCCCCACATATATTTCACAAAGTTTTCAAGTTCATCAAACAAACTAGCAGCGTTAATCAGCAGAAAGCTGCTAGGTTTAAAGAGATTTTGTACAAAAATGTATGATTTTTAGGAAAAAAAGCATGACTGTCCAGTCCTAAACCTAACCCTAACACACAATAATTTACACAATGGCTAAATAGCTAGTTGTCTATTAGTTAACATTTATCAGTAGCCCACACAGCTTATATGGCGCCAAAAACCAACCAATTTTACTGCCGTAATACATATTATATATTTCTCTATGAAACAGGAGATGACATGATTTCATTCATATGATTGGACTGTGAAAAGTGATTTCTATATGACAGGTGGCTGGAGGGAAGGTGTAGAAAAATAAAAGGGCTTGGTGACATCAGCCAGTAATTGAAAGGAAAATTCTATTTTTTTTTTCTGTGGAGTAACATGCAGAAATTGATTGTACACAGTAACAAGAGGAAGTAAACAGAGTAAATTATTTAGATTTTGTTGACTTTAAAGGTACTTTATGCATTTCTGACGCCCTTACAGAAATTAGAGACTCTTTAGGATACGTCTGTGTTTGAATTATACACTGGGACAAATATGGGTCACAATGAAATACCCAACACTGCACCGAAACCTGAGCTTCTCTCTCCCTCCCCATTTCATTTCTCCACATTGCTTTCTTCTTTCAAAGGCATCCGTGTCGCACAGAAGCGCAAGTCTGTGTGTGTTTCCATGCTGCGTGTCTCTGGATCCAAGCGCAGATGAGACATGACAAGCTCCTTCATCCTCCCCTCCGCTCTAGCATCGTGGGGCCAAGCGCTTTGCCTTTCTCATCTTCATTCCACCATTCTTTTCTCTTTTTTCACACTTTTACTTTGTCACAGGTGGAAACAAGACACGACTGGGAATGAAAGAGAAGAGGCGCTAATTAGGGAAGGGGGACTGGGACAAAGAGACTGGAATAATAAGACATTTAAAACAGGGAACTCTAATCTGGGAGGATTGGAAACGAGGCTGACTGGTGGTCGCTTTCTTTTCCTTCTCGCCGAGCAGAAGGATCAAAAGAGGAACACAGCTCTTTTCAACTGTCTTGTTTCCATGTTTTTCTTTTGTCAAACACCGAGACCCTTTAAACCAACACAGTTGAACAAAACGAAAGCTGCAGTCTCGTGTCCTTGTGGTATCCATAAGGATTTCAGCATCAGGTTCATCAGATAATGAGGGTGTACGAGGGCTGTTTTGGAGCCGGTTCCTCTCCAGGCTCTTGCTTCGGTACAGTCGGTCTGTTTCTTCTGAAAAGAAATGATTGAGAAAGCGTCTCCGGCTTTCACCATCTCCCTGAGGTCAACTGCTCTTCACACCAAAGTTCTACAAAGCCTCCTAAAGCTCAGAGCTATTAGTCATGTGTGTGGTTTCAGGTCTGTCTTTAGAAGAGCCCCTCAGGGGTTTCTGCGCCGGGGCAGACGGCTCCGGTCACTGGCAGAGAACAG